TCCCGCGTTAGACCGATACCATGTCTTGTTCTGACAAGGACACATGATAGACAGGCGATTACTGTTTAAAAAGACTGGTGATTTTGAAATAAAAAGCTTTTTTCCTCCGTTTGGATTCACTTTGTACAATGTTTGTTCCGGCGTTACCCATGGATTTCCCGTGCAATTACGACTGGGTAAAACATGTCCTTGCTAAAATGGAAATACTGATAGAACAGACCACGGGCGGCCCAAGCTCACGTCTCGAGAAAGCCAACGATGAATTCATGAACGCGTCACGTCACAAGGAATAGTATGGGGAACGAAATATGGTCGATTTACAACGAAAAATACTTCGAAATATGAATATTTTACACGTAAAATCAATAAAACTTACTCATGCCCTGTGTATCCGTCGTAGTTTCTGGCGATTTCTGCCGTTTTAAGCTTGCTTTACCATCACTGTTATCCATGTCAAAAGACGTCTTCGTCTTCGTCTTTTGACATGGATAACAGTGATGGCTAAGCAAGCTTATAATTCCTTATAACGTGTTCAAATTTTCAACGGTTCCTCCCGTAACTTAACACCGAGTCACACAACGCGTGACGCGTTCATGAATTCATCGTTGGCTTTTTCTCGAGACGTGAGCTTGGGCCGCCTGTGAACAGACCGAACCACTATGCAATACGTGGCTTTGCGGAAAATGCTAATTAAAGTTTTCTGTTGAGGTAATAGGTTAATATTTGCCTAAAACGCTTAAATCAACATACCACTGAAACCACGTTCATCAAGGGAGAGATAGGGTTTTTTTTTATTTCTTTTTACCTGAGTTATTTATATTTCTCAACTGACTTTCAATATCTTTCAATGTTTTTTTAACAAAGGATTTTTTTTTCCAGATTGTGTTGATTGATACATTTTTCTTTGAATCGATTGTTTTGTAGAAACTCGATATTCTTTAATAACTGGAATAAGTTACTGTCTGAAGTGACATGTAGTTTTCCAGGTCTTAACTCCCAAGGGTGCCTGGTAGCTTGCACGGATCGTACTGCAAGAGTGCTAGAGAAAATGTCGGAAAAAGGCGAATCAAACGGACATATTACGGTCACAGTCACCTCACCCTCAAACGAGGAACAGGTCATCACTGATGAGGAACAGGTCATCACTGATGAGGAACAAGTCATCACTGATGAGGAAAACGGTTACGAGCTCCAAGTTGAAGTGGAGGCGAAGCGGAAAGGATGGGGAAATAAATTAGAGTACATGCTTGCCACTGTCGGATTTGCTGTTGGTCTTGGAAATGTATGGCGTTTCCCTTACTTGTGCCAAAAGAATGGAGGAGGTTAGTAAATCCAGTGACTAACAAAAGACATAGAGTTTTCCCTGGTTTCTTATCTAAGTATTGACTACTGGACGATTTTAACACCCCAGAGACATCGGGTGAGAATTCGAAGGGTTTCCTATTTCACACTTCTGTGTCAAACCCGTTTAGCTTACTAAAATTCAAAGGGGTCTTGCGCTTTCAACGAATCTTTCGTAAAATTATATCGAGCAGTACTTTATGTGACAGAAAAGTATACCTGATGAAGGGTGGATAGTTTTAGTAGTGAATTTCATTCCTTTTGACTTTCATAGCGTCGACACCGGAAATAACTTTACTGTATTTTAGTTTGTTCGAGATCGATTCTTAGGGTAAGCAACCTTTATTTGAATGCTTCGAAATTTGTTATTTTGCCCTTCGTGAGCAATTTCGCTTCATTTTTTCAAAAAAAGAGTTTGGTATAGCCAAGAAAAACTCTCAGTAAAAGACCTGGTGTTGAGCGCCATCCTATTCCCACACACTTGTATTTGTCTGCCGATAGTGGTCTTTAGTTTCCGTCTCCCTTACGACAATGAACTAAAGTGTGAACGAAATAAGTGTGAATCGATCGCTAGGATAGGTCTCCTTTGCAACCGCTCTAGAGCTAGGATGTCATGCAACGTTACTGCCGAAGGAGGCGTTCCAGAGCTAGGATGTCACGCAATGTCACTCCCAAAGGAGGCTTTGCGGAAAATCACATGGACAGCTTTAACCCTTTATACCCTAACATCAGTATGCATCTTCTCCATACTGTTCTCTATACATTTCCTGAGGTGTTGACATGGAGAATTTGTCTAATAATCATGAGCTTCTTTAGCTGGTGATCATTTCCTTTATTGTCGTGACCTTTATGTGTGAATCGGGGGGGGGGGGGGGGGGGGGGGGGGGGGGGGGGGGGGGGGGGGAGAAGCTAGATGCTAGTCACTCTTAGGAGTCAAATGGTTATTAGAATGTTAGTAACGCTTCTCTTCGTAGAATGTGGTTCGTTTCATGGAGACCTTACGGAGATTTAAAGAAAATGGAAAATCTTTTCAGGTCCAATTTACTGTAGCCTTTGCTATACCGGACTGAGCTCTCCGGTTTTTTTTTTCGGAAATTCAATCTCTGGAAACAAAACGAGGTGAAACTTGGAAGCGAGAGGCTATGAAATTTGTGCTCGCGGCTTTTTCTTTGCCCTCACAGTTTCAGATATGAGAGGCGGTGAACAGTATGTCTTGAAAATTTTTTCTAGGTGCTTTTCTCATCCCGTACGTCTTCAGCTTGGTTGTAATGGGAATCCCCCTGTTTTTCATGGAGTTGGCGATTGGTCAGAGTCTGCGTCAAGGATCTGTGGGTGTGTGGAATGCCATTCACCCCTTCTTGGGTGGACTGGGGTTCGCATCAGTGGTTATCTGCCTGTTGGTGGGCCTGTACTACAACATGATCATCGCCTGGTGCTTTTACTATTTATTCGCTTCTTTCCAGGACCCTTTGCCTTACGCCAATTGTCCTATGGTGGATAATGTCACTTTCGTGGAGGAGTGTCAATTAGCAGGCCGTACACAGTATTACTGGTACAGGAATGCCTTAGAAATAAGTGCGTCCATCGAAGAGAGTGGAGGACTCCTGTGGCATTTGTGCCTGGTCTTGCTGCTCTCTTGGATTGTTGTATTCTTGTGCATGATGCGTGGTGTGGAATCAGCAGGAAAAGTGAGTACTATGATAAATATTCTTGTATTTAACCATAGCTTACTGGTAGCCTAAATTTTCTTCTCTGTTTCAGTCTTTCGACATCCTTCTCCATCCTTGTCTCTTCTGGGTTTATTGTCTTGTTTATCTCTTTTGAGTCAATGTATTGTGTTTGTGTTCATGTTAAAGGTAGCTTTTAGCGCCAAAAAAGAAAAAACCGCTACATAGTTCTCTGCGGTAATGAGCCTTCTAACTCATCGAGATCGTTCGTTTTCTTTTGCGGAAGATAAATAATTGCAGTGTGTTTGTATTCCTACTTTCCCAGCTGCAGTGATCAACCACAGAAAGAGTGAGACACTTGCCACACTAATGCGTTTTTCCTTTAATTTTATATCGTTTAAGTTTGTGTGAAGGGCAAAAACGTTTCAAAAGATATGAGTTTGCGAACGTGGTTGGGGCCTAAATGTCCCTTCGCGCTGCTAGAGGTCGGATAAACTTGCTTGACAAAGAAGTTGTGAGTGCTTCGTTGATAAAATGGTGACGGCAGTTTTCGTCCATTGATAAATGAGAGGACGAATCAGATTCAGTTCACAGCGTTGCAATAGTTGAAAATTGTTTGAGTTTTTTTCTGGTTTGCAGGCAGTCTACTTCACCGCCACATTTCCATACGTCGTGCTGATTATCTTCTTTGGTCGTGGGATCAGTTTACCAGGCTCTGTTGATGGCGTCAAACACATGTTTACCCCTCAGGTAGTAAACCCTGTCATGAAACAAATATGAAACATCTAAGATTTTAATTAAATAGTCTGTTTTATTCCTGTGAGCATGGGAGATAGCAATTACCTTCATCAAAATGGCCTAGATTAAGTTATTTCACTAGACATTTCACGTATTTCAGATTAATTTGGATCCCACTTTGTTTTTTCAAACAAAATCAGGCAACAACAACAAAAAAAAGAATTAGAAATTTGCGTACAATTCAACGCTTGCGAAAAACTCAGTATCCCAAGAGATCTTAATACTGATTTAATCTATTTATAAACCTGTATTGGTTAAACCAAATAAACTCGAAAATTTTTTAAGGAGATTGCAAGTTATTATGTGCTTTGTATGCCAGCAAATAACTGGTATAATCAATACCCCGTCTGTCTTATTTTTGGTATTCTCTTTGTTTTCTTTTTCCAGTTTGATAAACTTACTGATCCTCAAGTCTGGCTGGAAGCCGCCACACAGATTTTCTACTCGTTAGGAGTTGCTTTCGGTGGACTCATCGCCATGTCCAGTTACAACGATGTCCATAACAATTGCAAACGGGACGCTATTCTGGTGTCCACCATCAACTGTGGCACCTCAATCTTTGCTTCAATTGTCATTTTCTCCATTCTTGGATTCAAGGTAAGATCATAAATAATGCTATCGGCACAAATATGTTTAAAAAGGTTGTAAATGAATTTGGAATTCGGTCGTCGAATAAAAATTTGTATTCAATTGTCAGAAGCCAAGTGTTTCCGTCACAAGGTGCGCTAAAAAAACACTCCTTCGCTTTTTATTTGTGGCTTTAAGTAAACAATTCACGTAGATTTACACCAAATGTCATTTCCAGATATGGTCATGTAAACCATAAACGTAACATACCTAACACATGTTACAAGTAAGAATCTTAATTTCCCACCAGAGATAGGATCTCGGGAACATGTGCTTTACCGCTGAGAGCCGGTGGGCTGGGTTCCTATTAGGTTCACATTCGACATCCGTGCTGAACGCTTTTAGGGGAAAACGGTTACCACCTTTTTTTTTTTTTTTTTTTTTTTCAAGGCCCATCATTCATATCACGAATGTTTGGATATCTACGGAGGAAATAGCACCAACATTGAAAAGCATTGTAAGGATTTGGAATTTTGGTTGTCTGAGGTAAGTGCGTACACTCAGTGTGAAGATGATACATTTCCTAGTTCACGATAAAAGCTGTAATGAATTGATATCTATGCATTTTATCTTCGAGGATGTTGTCTGTTGCATTCTTGTAGGGAAGGAAGCGACCACGAAAAGTGGGTCGAGCACTTTATGTCATGTTAATTGAATAAACTGTATATTGAACGATGTACAGGCCAAATTTTTTAAGCAACAAATATAGAACAGCAAAGGACCATATTAAGAGTAATCATACCTTGTATGTCTAACATGAGGAGCAACTAACACTGAAATGGATGAGATGCCAAAAACTTTGAAAAGAGAAGCTAAACGCTATGGTTGCTATTTTTTCCTTTCTGTATCCAGTCTGCACAGGGACCTGGGTTAACATTCATCGCCTTCACGGAAGCGATAGTGAAGATGCCCATATCCCCGCTGTGGGCTGTGCTGTTTTTTTGCATGTTACTGACTCTTGGACTCGGCAGTATGTTTGGAACTTTGGAGGGAGCGCTCACACCTTTATATGACCTTCAAATTTTTCCTTGCAGGAAAGAGATCCTCACTGGTAAGTAAATGAAACTATGGTAGGTTTAAAAATTAATATGTGTTAAGGTTAGGAGAGAAGAGCTCACTCCTTGATAATAACCGAAACACGAGACTTTCCGTACTCTGAATCAGGTTGAAATGCTCTTCAGTGTGCTCGTGACGGTGGATTCCGCCATATAAATTTACTTTGCCGGCCTGCTTGACTTCTGCAGTCCGTGAATGTGTTTTTTTATTTCTTTCCCTAATTTCACAAGAATTTTATTTCTCGTCTCTTTTTATTGTCCGATTTTATCAGAGTGTGGGGAATTAGTAAGGATAGCCCACACTGTCTCGTCTTCACTAGACTTTTATTCTTCTCCTCTTCTATTCTCGCTAGGTTTCACAACTGTCACAACTCCTCGACTCGACTGATATGAAAGATTACTTCGACTGAAAGCTAAATAAATCACAGACAATTGTTCCTTATCTTTGCGGGACACCTTAGTTAAAAAGAACGCTGATTGGCTAGATACGAATCTTCCAGACATAAGAATAACAAAATTTCCAGACAAACATTTCACAATCGCTATTTGATATCTATGCTATTATTCTGTTTCCGACAAGAGAAATGATGACACCTTGAAGGGTGAGGAAACTGACCGTAGATCTTGGGAGTCTTAGGGTAAAATTAAGCTCGTGATAAAAGCTTATGATGGCGGATGTTCCACGTTATTCATGTTATCTCCAGGTATCCTCTGTGTTGCTAGTTTCCTGGTTGGTTTGTTATTCTGTCAGAGGTCCGGCGAGTACTGGCTGCAGATGTTTGATTCGTTCAGTGGAACCATTCCTGTTCTGTTCATCGGCTTCTTTGAGCTGATTGCTGTTCATTACATCTATGGTGCATCCAAGTAAGTGCCTCAGTACTTGATGCTCAATGCAAGAGAGCAAAGACATGTCCTGCTTCACTCTTCACGCCATGTTTGACTTGGTATTTTATATTCAATGAAGCAAAATATCCCTCGCAAAATTTGTTTCTCCTCATGGTTGAAAAAGAGGAAGGGGGACGTCCGTTGGCAGGACTACTGTTTTAGACTGATAAGTTGAGTTTTTCTTATCGCGTTTAGTCCAAAATTTTAGAAAATTAGAAGATATTTTGATGTTTTCTCCTCCACTAGCTGCTTAGTTTTAATCCCCATCGTGTTTGAATAAGGGTTTTACTTACTTACTTACTTACTTACTTACTTACTTACCCATCACTTACAGGGTTTCAACACCAAAAGCATGGAGCGACTAAGAGAATCACTTACCTCCCCTCTCTCTCCTCCCACCCTAGGAGCGAGCACAGTGGAAGGACTCTAATCCAGACCTCTCTCGTATTTCAGGACATTAGTCGCTAGGCCACAAGTTCGCCCAATGTTTGCTTTCCTCTGAGACTAATTGTTGTTTTACGTTTCTCCTCAGGTTTGAGGATGATATCGAGTACATGATTGGAAGCCGACCTGGGTGGTATTGGAAGATCACATGGCGCTTTGTTGCCCCATTCCTTGTTTTCAGTATTCTGGTGGCTAGTATAGTAAACATGGGAATCAAACCTATCGTTTATTCAGCCTGGCATCCGGAACTTGTGAGTAAATTCAGCTTTTACTTTCTTTGTTCATGCTTATGGGAATGCGGTTTACCCGTAAATACACGAAATAGCTCTGCCTCGAAAAAAGGTGCCCGTGCTTGTTTTGCGAACATAACAAATTTAAAATGAGAACTGCGACGAAAAACAACAAATTTGAAAAAGGGCCGAGGCGCTCTTCCGAGTTAACACGGTGGTCATATAAACGACTGCTGATTTAAACCATTTTTCTCGTATAAGCAATGACTTCGTTCTGCTTTACTTGGCAGAGTGGAAGATTTTTGAACATTCATTCCTAATAGAGAATTAAATCATCTTTTTGGGATTGAAAAACTGATGTTAAATAAAAACAATTTCCTATCCTATCGCAGGCAGACGTGGTCCCGACTCAATATCCAAATTGGGGATATGTTGTAATAGTCATTCTGATTCTGTCGTCGTGTTTCTTTATTCCATTCATCTTTATACTGCGGAGGTTTGGTTTCACTAATTACGAGAAAAAAGTGAGGCGCTCTGTGAGGGGAGATGACGTCATACCTCCGGGATCTCTGACACCCCAATTGTCACGTGTCGCACTAAATTTATCAGAAGAACCGCTGGGTGGGACCGACGACTTCGACGAAAAGTATGAATCGTAAAAGAAAATATATTGGGTCCACGGCACTTCCTGACTTTTTTGGTGAGCGTGGTGTATCTCTGGTTGATTTCTGATGCAAGTTTGACAACTCCAGTATCGGTATGTTTTTGTTTTATAAAGCTTTGAGAATGGATTTTATCTCCAATATGGACGTCTGACTTCGCTGTAATTTGATGTCTGAGTAACAATTTTTAGTGTGTCTTCCATGTGGCTTTCGGCTCTTTGAAATAATCTGATATAACAAAACCATTGATTTTATTGATTTTATTAAGCTTTTTGATTCCTTAACTCCTAGAAGAGATTAACAAGTAACTTTTCCCTATAAAATCTAAACATTATCCAGCAAACAGGTCATAAAAATATTCAAACTTATCGGGTTGAAGTTGTTATCTCGATCTGACACCAAACTCTTGTAAGTTATTTACAAGGAAATGTGAAGCCAGAGGGAGAATTAACTGAATCTGATATTGAGAGTTAAAGGATTAATAGATGTTATCTGATGAATACTTTGTCGGCAGAATTCAGCTTTTTTATTATTAGTGCACAATGTGTCGTCCACATTCGACAACTATCATATGAAATGTATCGTATTTGTGATCTTGATTAAAATTTATTGGAAATGCAGTTGCTCGTTCAGCTTATATCTCTTACATAGAGTTTAAGTCTGCTGTAGATAGCGGATTAAATTAAAGTGAAAATTAATATAAAAATAATAATGGATAAATAAGATATAGTCCCGCAACAAAATGTCAAAAAGACAAAACGTGGTATTAATAAGTTCGAGATATATACCCGTCTACATCAATTTTGAAGTCGGTTTTTTATTGATCTTCTCAGAATCTTGATGGTTTTTCCCTTTTTTAATCCACTGGGGTTGTTGGTTTTCGCTGTTTTGACATTTGGTTTTTTAATTTCATGATTGTATAGGGCGGTTTTTGTGGTATAACTTCGGTCTGGATATTCAATCGCTCTGGATTGTTTTCAAAGTATAGTTCCCGGCTTCAGAACTCCTACGTCTAATTTTTTTTTATTGAAAAAACCAGCTTTCTTTTTCTAGTTGGTTGTTTGAGTCTAATACCCGCTGATTATGTGCTACATACAAAATTGCTTCCACCTCCAACCCCTCTCCCAAAAAAAAATCCTATTTTTAAACACCAAAGAGTTATCTATTGAATAACCATAGGTTACAGATTTAGCAAGAGAACACTGTTTAATCTTGACAGAAGTTAATAACTATTAAAATTTTCCAGAAGATATTTATTCGCCTAGGAAAATATTTCAGTTCAGTCTACCTACTGTAATACGATGAAAAAATATCGTGTTAGGGGTGCGTATGGTCTCTCCAAACTGTGAGGGTCTCGCAAAATTGTAGTGTCGTATTAAGACCATTTTCCTTCGTCTTTGGGTTTCGATTCTTTCCCAGAGCTGTCATCAAAGCCAACATTTATTAGGGCGATGCTGTCTCGAATAAGTTGGACTTTTAACATGGAAAAAATCACGGCCAGAAACACGCTGATCCCAGGGGGAAAGTACTAATCCACAGAAGTCCAAATGCTGGATTTTATCAGGAAGGCTCCTTCCAACCGCGTCGCTATCTGGCGTAGACCAATCACCGCACAGCCCCTTCTATTGTCAAGGAAATTGCGATTTATCAGTTATGCTGTTAAAGTTTTAAGAACATATTTGCAACGGCGTGAATAAACATCAGTTTATCGTTCAGTAATGCCCTCGTTAGAGTTTTAAACCCTCAAGTTTTTTGGCCCTCGAGAGAAATTCTGTTGTTTCGCAAACCTGTTTATTACTGAGAAGATGATCTCACGGATGGCAGATGAACTTGTTCACGGTAGTTTAGAATAAGTCGGAAAATCTTCAAAAACTCTCTCTTAAATCTTTTGTTCACAACCGCGTAAATAAAAGGGTTGATTGTAGAAGACAAGAAAACCATGATTGTATAGAACAGGTACATCTGACGGGGCAGAATAAGAGCGCCTGTCACCACGTCTGTGGTGTCCATCACTAACACGGGAAGCCAGCATAATGCAAATCCAACGACAACCGCTACCAGAGTTTTGGTGATATTGGCGTCGCGCACGTTGACCCTGGTTGCAGAATCTTCCCCATTTGCCGTCATGACGCGGTTTTGCCCTCGCACTGTCTTAAAAACGCGCCAATAACAGAAAACAATGGTTGATGTTGGCACTCCAATGAACATAACATCGAGACAAACGGTGTAAGCGATGTTTATTTCGAAGGGATACACGCAAAGAACTTTGCCGGGCTGGAATGCGTAGTCTTCCCTACCAAACACAAGTGTAGAAACTGAAAAAAGGCACGCCAGTAGCCACACGATCACCAAGTAACCTAGCGTTCTTTTCATGGAGAACACGGTTCGATAGTCGTTAGGCTTCACGACGCAGAAATATCTGTTAAGGGCAATGACAGAGAGAGTATTAAGTGAAGCTGTAGCAAACGTTATAACGCAGAATCCCTGGAAAAGGCAAACAGCTCTGTGGTAAGGCCAAACCCCTGCGATAAGGGCTCCTGCAGAAAGTGGCATCACTGAGGTTGCTACCAGTAGATCTGTCAGGGAGAGTGCGACGATTAACACGTCTGTGATGGTAAGACGACGGCGATTTCTATAGGCTACGGCGAAAACCAGAATGTTTCCGATCAAAGCTGTGATGTCCACCAAAATCAGTATCGTGGCTTCCACCGCAACGAAGACATTATCTCTTTGCGCAATGCTTAGCGCCAGGCGGTCTTGGCCGTTCGACATGATGTCCAATCCAACTGAAATTTGTTCTTCTTTAAAGGAGAAATCTGAAAGGAGAAGATACAGTGTCCTTCTTAAACTTCATTCTTTTGTTTCTTTCCTTTTTGTTTGTCGTATCTTTTAATTAAGGCCTTCCTTCTTTTCCACGTTTTTTTTTAATATTGTAATCAGAAAGTTTGTAATATCGTATTTCCCTGAGCAGAGGAAAAAATTGCATTTCAGAGATTTCATTTTATAAATCAACTAGAATAAATCTTGAGTGTTATCCCTAAATTGCTTTTCTTATCTTTAACTATCAGGTTAAATTGGAAATTGAAAATTTTAATCTTTTTGTACGTCAGAATTTGTCAGTGTTCCCAAATGGTCTGATTGCAACTTCGCTGACATCGGGAAACAGAAAGAATTGCATGATTAACCGCTACAACAAATTATCGAGTCCCTGCATCCAAAATAATTTATCCCATTGACTTTCTACTAAGATATTACCAAAACATGTAAATTTCGCTTTCCAGCAGATTTTTCGCGATCACCTATTTACAAGTGTACCCGCGAAGAAAATTATTGCATACTTAATTCAATAACACTCGTTTTCGTCAATAATGTACACCGAAATGACATTGGCTTTATGAGCGGGATTAAAATGTACTAAATAAAAGATGACAGTTGGTTCTTTTCGGTTCTTTCTCACAGCTCTTTGATTTTAAAGCGAATTAATAACCGAGAGCTTTATTTCTTTTGTTTGCCATAGCACGTGAAGAAAAACATTGCTTGTCTACGATTGGATCGAGATATCTGTAAATTTGTAATCAACTGCAACTGAAACATTGTTGAAGTTCCTTTTGCACTTTAAAAAGACAATACTATAAGAGGCAAAAGCCAATAGTTTGCCTTGGTATGATTGATTTTTATCAGGATTATGTCGGTAAAATTCAACGAGGATACGACGAAAATACTCGTAGAAATATGCGAGTGGTTATCGATTTTTAAAACAAGAAGAGACAAAAAAAACTGTTAGAGCTCCGAAATCGAGTTTCTATGTTCCGGGAACTTTTAAGATAAGGCGTGCAGGCAAGAATACAGCAAAAAATCCTTATGGATACGTTTCGGTTACGATATTTAACCAATTCATTCAGGGCCTCAAATGACTATCTTCCATCTTTGCAACTATATAAGAGCTTGCCATTTGTCCGAAATGGACAAATAGACTCAGAAAAATAATAGGCTTCTTCTTTAAGAGTCTTTACTTTAAGCGTAGAGAAAAGAAAATTATCAGAATAGTGTAGTAATATTATTGACATAGTAACGTGAGATTATTTTAACTATTATGACTGGCGCGGAATTTACCACGCATGAGTGGTGCTCCCCCGCGGAGTGCTTGCAAGGGAAATGTTTTGCTCTCGTCTGCGCGTTAGTTGCGTTCTGAGAAGCTTATAAAAAGTTAGGACTAGTTTTATGTGGCTTTGCAAATCTGATTGATAGCGGCATGCTCTTTATTAAAGGATACGTCTGGCTAGCCTTTGGCCGCTACATAACAAATTCTGCTTGCCATGCAGCACTGCAGGTAATGAAAGTCGCAATAAAACTCGCAAATTCTACTCGAAGTTCTCTTCAAATTCTGCTCAACAAATGAATAAGTACACCAGACGTGTGAGTTCAAATTATAAATGTACATATATGTACATGTATTCTTTCATTGATCACAAACTTAGATTCAACCTTTTAAAACGGCGGTAATTTTTAACATTCATAATAAGGTGGTCAACGTTAATAGCTCAGACGCTAAAGCAACGAGCAACTCCGCAAAACAGAGATTGAAAACTATTCGTTTGATTGGTTTTTAGTCTACGCCGTTAATTTTTAAGGGATTCTACTCAGAACTCTGCTCGAAAGGCAGTTTTCTGCCGGCATGCTGATGATGTCTAGAACTAATTATGCTCACAATTATGCTAACAGAAATTACCCGAGCCTAAGCCTTCGATTATCTGTCGGTCAGTTGAATGTTAGGCATTCCTAATTTTATCCTTTTTTAGGGGAGAAAAAGAACCCTAATTAAACCTCATGTGGTAAAGTGAATCTAACAATTCTATCGTTGGTAAATGCGGTTGTGACATGTGTTTTAGATACAATTGTTCATTGTTAACAAAGCTAATGTGAAGTCTAAATTTAAACTACCTCCTCTCCGATCACTCAAATTTTCTCTTGAGAGATGTTTTTAGCCTCTAATGAGTTAAATTGACGTCATTTCCTCCGGCTTTTATCGATGAGGAACTTTAAATAAGTCCTGTGGAAGGAAATCTTGCAATATTGTGTTATCCACACAGGGAATTGCTTTAACATGGACAATAGAATAACGACTTCTTCATTCCTTTCACTCACGTTGTTTTTATGACGTAATTATGCTTTCAGTATTTAGCAATGCCCATAACTTTCAAAGCTTTCTCTTTGAAGTGGACCAAAACCATTTGATAAAGGAAACAAAGGAGAATCAGTTTCAATGCAACATATTCGAAAAGTTTTAGCACGTCTTCGGCACTAAAAACGCATCCTGAGCGTTTAATAACAATTTTAAGTGAATAAAAACACAAAAAATACGAAAAATCATTCTAAAAATTTGATACATAGACGTTGAACATCGTCCACTAAGAAACAAAAATTACTGACTATCCTCTAATCATAGCTTTATTTAGTCAGAACAGTTTCAAATTTTAGAGCAGGCGAAGTGTTTCGTGTTTTATCGCTCGATTCAGCCCCATTCATAATTAATTAACAGCAGCATTGTAACGTTCTAGGCGATTTTGCCCGGCGGGAAAAATATAAATTTTTTATTTGTTACGTCCTTCTCGCTAGTCCTCTTCCGCAACTTTTATTGATCTCTCCGAAAAAGAATCCATTAGATTTCAGGAATGACGCCATTCGAGCTTTTTCGAATGGCATAGTTACAAACAACATCACGCAATGTTGACCTGTTAACTCTTCCGGCAGAGATACGTAAGAATTTTGAGGGTTTTGAAAATGCGCGTAGAATTTTCGACGCAAAAGTTATCAGAAGGCGTATGAAAATAGGCCGAACTCATAAGTTGGGAACAATGTTTTAAGCGTCATGTTCATATCGTCTTTTCGAAAACGAACGCATTTATAGATCGTAATAAAGCAGAGCTGAATGAAAATCCACATAGTCAGTCAGATAAAAAAAAAATGAAAAAAAAATTTGCTCATGGCAGACTTGCAAATCAGTCGTAGCGCACGGCAGAATCAGAAAGTGATTCTTTAAACCTAACGGAATTACAAGCCTGAGAAGATAGAATTTCAGGTGGATTTAAAGCAAAATAAGTTTATTCTCATTAAGCCTGCCAATTTAGAAACCAGCCATTTGAGATTGCTTTTAGATGGCTTTCAAAAGGGCCGCTTTTGTACAAAGGTCTTCTCGTGTACAAAGAGATAAAATCAGAATTGTAGAAAACAAAACTTAACAACAAAAGAAAAACAAGAAATCTCAGGCTAATGTATCTGTGCAAGACGCGTTCAATCCCTCATCTGATTTTAAACCGATAGCATTTTAAATGTAAATTTATTCTTTCATTTTCCTAGTTACCCAACCGCTCTCACTAAACTCATTACGTAATATAATTTTCCTTTCCCCTGAACTTTACTCGTAAGGTTTACTTAGTCTAAAGAAGAAGAGTTTTTCAGTCACATCTTAATTCATTAACATCCTTATCGTTTTGTCTCCGTCCTATATGAAAAGTAACTTTTCGGTGTTTCATGACATTTCCTCTTATTGGCTTGTTTTTGACGGATGCTTGTTTCTTTGTGACACAGCCAGCAAACAGCGCAGTATCACTAATAAAATAACTTACCTGTAAGAGTAAAAATGGTATAATTTTTTCTTCAGCTTTCCTTTAGTCAACAATCGCGGCCAACAGCTCTGCAAGGCAATCAATCTACACACGGAAATAAAAACAATGTTTTGGAGTTGACCGGATCACAAATGTTCAGTAGGATATCGGCCCCAAAGGAAGAAGTCTCATTAAACATGCGGTGCAAGCCCACACTGTGGGTTTTAAGTTGAAAGAAAGTGTTCAAAGGATATGGCTTCGACAGTTACGAAAAATAGAAGTAATCATAATTGGTTAATTTCCGTGTTTAGCTGGCGGAATGCTTTTTTAAGGATTCCTCACCTTTTGTGATGAAGTTCTCTTCCAATTCTCAGATTATTTACAGTGAAGCCATCAAAATCGACGAGAAATATAACCAAGCGGTAATTTCCTTGGAAAGCTTTATCTACTGCAGTTCTTTTCAGCTTATATACTCCGAGAGTTTCCGTGACTACGGCAAATTTTGTTCAGATAAATTTTCATTCCTAAAATCTAGTGCGGATTTCGCATAGAATTTTATTTCAATGGCATACTTGAATAATTTATTAACGAGGTATTGCTCACTTATGGTAACTATCCAATGGAGACGCTTACGTTTATGGATGCTTTGTTTATCGAAGGCATAAATACTTTTAGAATTGCCGCTTTTTTCTCTCTACCGCAAAGGCTGTTTTAAAAATAAATTCTTTCAAACATTTTTTCCTTTGTAAAGAGGGTATGTGGAAGAGACTCGAATATTTTGAAGCAAATGCTTTTAAGCAAAATTTATTTCCGATTTAGTTAATTAATCCTCACACATAGGACTGTACATGTTGCATCAGAGAGCTAAGGTTACTTGGTTAATGGTTGAGCGAGTAATTGTGTAGCTAATTAAATTAACAGGCAATCGTTGCCAACACGTAGTCCAGTAGAAAATGGTTTGCAGAATAAAACTTTTAGATTTAAGTTCTTTGAACCCTAGACCTAACCAAAGAGGAAGTTTTAAAAAAGCTAACCGGAAACCTTTGAAATAAAAGCAACAGGGAAGTCATCTTACTCGGGATATGTAAATAGCATCGACTTCACCCACGCTCTGAGGTTAGAGAATGTATTTTTTCAAGTTTGGTTTTAAGAATAATTGGCAGCAATGGCAGATTATGATAGGAAAAATTGGGTTAAGTGAACATGTTGTTGTATTAAGGACGAAAAATAAATTTGCATGAAGAAGATTAATTCTCCAGTCATTGATCTCCGGTCCCGTTTTTGGCTTTGTAATTTCCTGTGTTCTGATCACAAATCTGTTTTTTTGTTAGATTTCTATGTTTTCGTTCCATAAAATTTGAAGGCTTATTACCAGCTGCTTGTGGCGTCAGCAAATCGACAAGTGATTTATCTGTTCAGCTTATTTGTATCTCTTTTAAGTCCAACGGGTAATGCCTCTCAGTAAAGACCGTATTTTCTTCGCTCTGTCTCAGCCTCTTTGAGTCTTCGGGATGGATGCATCCAGTTTCAAGGATTGTTTTTAGTACTTTACTCTCCGATCGTATCAGTAATTTAGAAAGACAGACAGACTGGTTAAAGACAGACGTAGTATTAAGTTTAAAATGACTAAGAATGACAAAAGAAAATATTCAAATGGTCCTTTATTACATTTAAAACTTCAAAGGAGCATGCACAACTCAATGTTACAGTTTGATGAGCGGATTTGTAGCACTTAGCTTTTTCGTCAATTATCTTTAAGATACGACATGCTGTCAACTACTTAAAATCAGTATGAACATCGTGTAGCATTTTTGTAGGGGCACAAGGCTGTATCAATATTAAGTTCAAGCTTGCCAAACGCTATATAATTCCTTAATGACACTGCTTTTAGCTATTTCGTTTTCTACACAAAGCAAATCAAGCATTTTCTGGTTACCGTCTGCGCATCTTAAGTAATTTAGCATGAAATTTGTCAATTTCATCATTCCCAATTCGTGTCAATGTTTGTCCTCCTACTTAAACTACCATTGTTTGGTTTGGTTTTTTCCCCCACTTAACTCAGTAGGTGCTTGTCTTACTAATGCAAGCTAAGTTAGCGATTTAGTTTAATTAATGAAATTTTCTTCGTCCCAATTAGAACGAATCCTAATTATATGATAATCAAAATAATATGACACACTCGATCGTTCTTCTGAGAGGCACTTAGCAGACGCTCGAACCCTTTTAAGCCGTTTCATTACATCTTAGCGAGGGATGAGTTACGATTGCCGTATATTTTGGAATAACTTCAATACTCTAAGATACTAAAATTTCGATTTTCCACTTACCTGCTGCAGTACTTTGTAGTTCATGTAGTGTTTTCTGGTCTCTCTTGTTCGTGTTCTCTCCTCTTGTTCTGTCAGCTAACCGCATTCACTGAAATTGAGTGAAAGCACTTCTAACGAACTGCTTTATACTCTCAAATGTTTCCCGAGAGTCAATACATCTCAATGCTTGCTGCAATTAACTGATCTCTATCTTTGATAGACAAAAGTTAGACGCGAGGTAAATATAGCATAATTGTAAAAGTTAAGAGAGTTTTGGGTGACAAGATTCTTTAATTTATACATGTCTAGGAAATTTTCCTGACGCGTACAGCAAAGACTTTCTGAAAATGGAAAATGCAAAGATGATCTGGCAAAGTTTTTCCTCAACTCTGGAGTTTAAACGTGTTTATGAGGCCTATAAACGTTAACAAAAATATAAAAGGGAGAAGTATTCCTGTATATTAGTTTCGCTCACTAGCAAACTGATAAGTAAAAAAATGACCAACAATATTTCAAATGACCATTTTCAAGTTCTTTATCTGATCAACGTTTATTAAGACACTATTAATTTTTCTTCTTTATAATCTAAAATCAGCTTTTCTAGGTCATCGTTAGTGCATCTTAGGCAATTTAGCTTGACGTTTTCAATTTTTTAAATGTCAATTGTAATTCGAGTTGCTTATCTGATCAATTAACGTACGTATATTAACTCACTATAAGCTTACAAGAGTCTGGGAGAGTCGTTTGAACTGATGCTAGCCAAGATATTATGTCAATGTTTTTTATGACTATTTATGGGATTTTACGAACGTTACAGGTAATGTTTACGCTGATTGACTGAGTAAAGGTAAGGTTACTATTTTTTTTTTACTATGCACTGTATAATTTTATACGAACAATGGATTTACTTGGAGCATACAAGTCAGTCTTTCTTAGCCATATAAGAAATGCACGGTGTTATCATAGCTCTGTTCATTGCTCTACCACTGTGTATATAATTGCGATATTAGAGAATTCTTTTAGTCTTAAAATCTAACGCACTCCTAAAGGAGTTTTGAAAATGCTCTAAAGTGTGGCGTGTGGCTGGTTGGAAGTGCGCCATACTTCTTATGAAATTTTGTTGTTTTTTCAGTGAACTACAGGTCAATGACCACGGTCATGTTGCTGATTGAAAGAAAATAGACAAGTTTATTAATTAAGTCTCAGATATTTAAAAGGCTACTTACGGTTATATTCCGCAATTTGCAACTGCCGGCCGCCTCTACGATTGACGGCTGGGATCTTGCGAAAGGGATGCCTTAAAATTGTTTGATTACTAACTGCTTAGTTGCTTGGTCGCTTGGTTACTGACGTCTCGATGATAAAAGAAAATGACTTTGGATATGAAAGCTACACCGCACTTAAAAAGAAACCGATACCAATAGAAAAAAAAAGAAAGAAAAAGATAAGTCAAGAGCCTATAAGAAAGAAAAATCAAAACCTTCATGTCTTTTGAAGTCCCAGCCGTTTCGCATTCGCGGTCAGACAGCATACAGACAGGCTCTAGCCAACTTGCCAGCCAACCCACATGCTAAACTTGTGTGTTACATATCTTTTAGATTGTGCACGGTCGTCGAATATAGGAAGTTGTCCAATATTTGTCACGAATAAAGGAAAATACTGAATTCGGAAATGGAAATTTGCTGAATATTATAATGCTCACTTTTCGTGAAGTTTAAAGGCTGTGTGATCAACTCTCGTTTGGAGGAACATTGTTTGACATTGCATCCATTCCATTGCTTAAGATAGCAATTTCACGTGATATAGGCTGTACGTTTGCGTTAATTTCATTCTTATCATTCGATATTCCATTGGCGTTATTACAAAAAAAAAAACCCAGCAAGTTACCGTTTTGTAAAAAACATGCAATCATGCCAACGGAGACATTTAGATCGTCATGGTACTCCGACTTAAACTTCGTCTAGTTTCACAAAATGTCCAAAGGGTGAGCAATCTCGGAATTTTAAAATTTATCATGCTTCTCATGCTCTAACGATATCATTTTATCATTCATAAAGGTGGTGTCCTTCTATGGTAGGAGACGCCAAGCGGATGATGGCTAATGCCTCAGGGTTTAGATCCGAAAACCCGTCTGGATGGCTGAAAAAAAAAAAACCGCGGTCACAATACGTAAGAGTTATTCTACCTCGAGTCGTTTCACCAAACAAAATCCGCGAGAAGGTCTCTCTGTGCAGACGTCGCCAAAAAGTAGCCTATACATTTAATGGTCTTTTTTTACATTATCAATCAGTTGATAAAATCAAATTAACTCTATATATATTACTATCGTTTGTTGCTTAGATAAGAACGCGAAGTTAAGTAACCTTGGAGTTCCAAAAAGTCTCCCAGCTGTAAGTATTCTTCCCACGCACCATATTAACATCTTAAGTACCGCCCGTGGCATTTTATATAGAGCACTGGACGACGGATCGCGATGTCTGGTTTTAAAACTTTGAACAGCCATTAGACTTGCACACAAGGTTACAAGCTCTCTCTAAGTTTAATTTCTTCCTTATGTAAACTAAGGCTTGAGCTTGCATGCTAGTCATCTTTTCCATTGTTAAAGTGGCAAGGGGAAAACGAAAGTACACGCAGGCGGTAACGAAAGTCGTTCATGCAACTCATCTCCTAAAAGAAAGCGCTGTAGAATACTAATATTTGGTGGAGAGAAATTTGAAAAAGATGGCATCAAATAATCTATAGAAAGAATGGAATTCGTAAAAAGCTAACTAACAGAAACATAGACCTGAGTGATCTGTGGTTAGTGAATCAACTGAGCAGCTATTAGACCGGTATCAACAGTTACAAGCTCTCTCGGTTTAATTTCTTCCTTATGTAGGCATAGGTTTCATAAAAATTGCGTCACTCATTTGACTCAAGATCTCTTACTTGTGACCCACATGGTCATGGTGCGCTCTCAATTCTTAGTACCCTCTCGATTCAAGGAAGCGTGCTTTGAAAATAAGGGTTTGACTCATTGTTTAGAATTCAATTACTCCAAACCGACTGATATTATGGTTCAATTTCTAGAGTAATGGAAATATATATCTGGTAGTAGATCAATTTATTTGGTGCCCCGAGATTTGGAATGATGCTGTCAAGTTTTCCAGAGTCGCAATACAAAGCGAAATGAATCATAAAATCATTTGAGAAGTGGAATCAGTGATTCTTAAGAGTTACTTCCGCTTCCGTTTAAACTTTATCGGTGGCACTGTTTACCAAGGTTGGCTTTTTACGTAATTGCAACTACTAGCATACGTTGACACCTAAAGAAACCAAATCGATTTTATTTAAATGGGAGGTTGGAACTTTCTAGACATCATAAGACGTAATATAAATGCCGTTTATAATAAAGTTTGGATATAACGCGCGGTGTCATTCATTGGCTGAAAGAGCGTGCTCTATGAGAGTATAGAGCATAGAGCTGAGCTAAAGCTGTCACGCCATCTGCCAAATTGTACCATGTTCGACCTTTTCGGGACTTCTTTTTAGCTTTTTTCTGATCATTGAAAGTGAAATTTCGAAACAAGCGAGCCGGTAAGTAGCAACAGAAGAACCAAACAAACGTTTGTAAACATACCAGGCGCCATGATTTACGTTATTAAACGTGAGCAGATACGAAAATCCTCAAAGGAAAAACAAAATAGACATTCCGGGTTAAAGATTTACGTCTTGTGTTTCTCACTACACTTCTTTCGTGCTCTAGCCGCTTCTTGCGTACTTTATAACAGAACAGAGCACAGTTAAGGCTTCTCTATTTGTTAAGTCATCGTGGGTAGGTTATTCATGCGTGAATTGGAATCAATTCAAAGTTCCGTTACAACTTGACAAACCAGTTTTCAAAGAGGTTTTTCAAGTTTCGAACCTGTTCGATACTACTGAAGACAAGCGCTGTTCTCACTCCAATTCGTTCATTCTTCCGCTCAAACAATGTTTCAAGGAGAACGCGACGAAAATCACGTAGCTTTGCCGTTAACCGAGCTGGACATCGACGACGAGGAGCCAAAAGACAAATTCAACTCTTCCGGAGGTGATGCAAACAATGATGACGACGCTGAGTGCAAAACCTGGGGAAACAAGGCTCAGTCTGTGCTGGCAATGTTAGGTTTTTCGGTTGGATTTGGAAATGTTTGGAGATTCCCTTACTTGTGCCAAAAGAATGGAGGCGGTAAGTTTGTCGAAGTCATGCATTGAGTGCATCTAGGAGTAAATCAAAAAGAGATTATTTTATGTATGCAGTTAATATAACTTGACGTCGCTCTCGCTGTGGCAGAGTATTGTCATTGGTTGCAAGAAATTCAAAAGATTGTTTGAAATTTTGTGATTTCGGCGACTAAAAGTGGCAGTAATACTGTAGCCAGGTCGAAAACAGTGTCACGTCGAGTTAATGGCTCGCAAAGCGGCATGTTTACGTATTTTAGGAAATACCGCATTTAATTTGCATAGATCGCTTAGAAAGCAAAAGATGAGACTTAAAACTGGAACAGATCCAGAAGCAAAAAATTAATGCTGTAGATCCAATAATCCCACCAGGATCTCTGTGAGACTATGATGATATGTTATAATGGAACGAATTCGTAGGATTTGCAATGGAGGAAACGGAACAAGCATTGTTAACACAGCCTGATGGCGTGCCTTTTCGATTGTTACCGTAAAACAATGCAATCTCAGTTTCGCATTAGTGTTTTGCCACCCAGTAAGAAGACCCGGAGTTCCATGGCATCTGATAAACCGGTGAAATTAGAGCATTATCAAAGATCGCATCTGCCATCTATCGTCTCATAATACCATTTTGAAATCGATCTTCCGTCCATGCGAAGAATTGCTATTTTTTTTTCAATTTTTAACGACTATAGATACCTCTAACAGCGAAAATGCACGCCGGCGGCGGAGAGTGGAAAAGTTTGAGCAGTAGAAGCCTGATGTTTTCTTTGCATCCGCGTTTAAGATTTGTTTTTCACCTGCACTGTGAATTTCAAGTGGATCACGCAAGTTAGACAAAAAAGGAGTTATACCGGTTTCCGACATGAATAATAAACAGGGCAATTACCACACTTAGTTTCACTTATGCGACCAAAAACAACAATTGAAGCAGTTATCCGTGAAGGCGCCACGCACGAGTCTAGGTCATGACTTGGGTTTCTTTCACATGCACCTTATGGTTGACTGATTTAGTGGCGCAAGATTTTTTAAAACACTTTTTCCTCACACTGCAATCTTGGTAAGCTGACGTTTTATTAAACTTTTCTGGGACAAAAATGCATTTGCGAAACTAAATTCTTCATTCTAATCGCTTTTATACAGATTTTCTTAATCAGGTAGGGATGCAACGTTTTTATTCCAGAATAATGAAAGAGACTCCACAAATGTTACTCAAATGAGAGGTATTTGAAACCTCGTGGCCGACCAGTTTCTCTTTCTCCCTTAAGGATTTCCCTATCCTCC